CAATCACAAAAGAAATCAGAAGCTGATAGTGTAGTGATACATATTACAGATATTTTCCCAAAAGGTTAACACAGATAAGGCTTTTTTTACCTAACATGGAATACAAAACTCAAGTAAAAGAAATAAAGGGACAGCTTTTCTTTTTATTCGCTTTTCTCTCTTCACTTAAAAAATAACCAGAAAAGCACAACTGAGGGGCAGGAGATGTAGCTCAGTGGTAGAATTTGTGCTCTGCACGTGTGAGGCCCTGAGTGCAATCCCTAGTGTGAAAATACACGTACGTGCACACACACACACACACACTGAATAAACGTCCACACCATCTTTTCTGGGCCGCAGGAGAGGTCAATACCATCAACGTTTTGCCACGCTTGCCAGAGTGTCTTTTTAGAAATGAGGCATTTCAGGTGAAGTGCAGGTCGTCTGTGTTCTCGCTCCGTTTTTTGTTTGCTTCTGAAGGCAGTGACTGTAAGGAAGTTGGCAGGAGTTCTACAGTATGCCTTCGCACAGTTCTGCGGTGGAGCTGTTTGTATTTACCGTGTTCCTACCGGGGAATACACGGTGGAGTATCCCGGGTAGCGTTACTTTGTGCGTTTTGGAATCCTAACAAACGGTATCAGTGATCTGCGACTTAATTTCCTCTCGACCAACATCATGTTTTTAATATTCACATTGCCCGAGCCATTGCCACTTCATGAATTTTAAGTGTTTTATAAAGTGTCTTTGGATGGCACTCGCGTTTTACCATTTGCTGGCGCAGACAGTGCCGGAGGGGACGCCCCTGAATTCATCTCTGCAGCGCGAATGTCAGTCTCACTGGGGGATTTCCCAGAAGTAAAGATGACGAGCCGGAGGACACGTGCTGGTCAGGTTGACTTAGACCCCGTCACCACGATCTCCAGTGTGTCCCGCGGTCTCACGCTCTTCTGCAGCACCGCCGGAACCAGTTTTCTAAAACGAGTTCACCAAATGCACGTTCTGCAGCTTGGAAGGTTTTCTGTTGCAGCATCCCCAGGGTCCCTTATGTTCCCTCTCGCGTCATTCTCTTCCATCAAAAGATCCTTCTTTCACTTAGAAAAAACAGGCCACGTCTTGTAACTTCATTGTTTGTATTCATCTGTAATAAAGGGCACAGTTTTCAGGAAAACTCTCTTATGTTCAGCTATTCTTTCAGAATTGCTGTTCTTTATTCTACATTCAATGGCCTTTCCTTCCTTCTCACTGTGGCGACCTAAAATTTCTGACCTTTTTGTAGGCGTAAAGAGGGTTGTTTAAATACTTTGTGGGCAATTCTTTTCTTTTCCTGCTTACTTTAAAGCTTTTGAAAGACAATAAAAACAAAAGAACTCTTTGTCTTGGTATTAGTTCATCTCCTTAAGTTCCTTGAGATTTTTGGATCTATCAAGCATCAAACTTAAAAATTCATTTTAGTGTCACATAGATGCTAATACAATCTTTTAAATGACTTTTTTCTTTTTTTTTGTACCGGGGTTGATCTCGGGCCTTGTGTTTGCGAGGCAGGCGGCAGAACCACTGGGCTAAGTCCCTGGCCGCAATGCAGCCTTTAAGAATGCCTTCTCGGGACCAGGTGTGGTGGTGCATGCCTGTAATCCCAGCACTCAGGAGGCTGAGGCAGGAGGATTGCTGTGAGTTCGAGACCAGCCTGGGCTACACAGTGGGTTCCAGATCTGTCTCAACTACATAGTGAGATCCTGTGTCAACACCCCCCAAAAAGAATGCCTTCTCAAACTTGACACTGCTGCTGCTACTCCTGAACCAGCTCCCCATTCGAGGTCACTTTTCTCCAACCTGGGAGGGCCTCATCCCCTGTCTGGTCGTCCAGTTCCAGCAAGATTTTTTTAAACTGAGTTTTTAAATGGTAACAAAGCTAATGCTGGAGAATAACAGTAGGACCCACATTAATATCTAGAGCTGTAAGTTTCTGTTTAACACTCACATTCAAGGGTCTTTTATTACATTAGAGGAATGAACAGAAAGAGGTGTCAGAATTTCCTGGCCCATTTTTTTATCTGCTGAGAAATGCTGACATTAAAGTCTTAACAGCTCAGCCCAGAAAGAGCTGAGAACTGCCGTGAACCACATGCAAGGGTCCTGTGCTCTGGCTTCCCTGAATTACCGTGGTGAGGAGGTGCCGGTCACATGACTGTGGTGAGCGTCCTTGTTGTTACAACCAAGCTGTCCAGCGTGTCGTGTTTATGGGGAGGGGTTGGGTGAAATGGGTTCGTATTTGGAAGATTCTTCCCACACGCTGGGTGACAAGGGAAGTGCCCTGGGCTGGGTACGAGAGCTGTGAACCCGAGGAGGCTGGGCAGTTGGAGTGGTGGAGGCTACTTGCGGAGGGCTGCCTGAGAGAGGACCCAGCACCAAGTCTGACGGCCTCCTCCGCCGGCAGGGGCGCAGGCGTGAGAGGTGCGTGGAGGGTTTGTCAGTTTTGGGTGAACATTGTAACGTCAGTATTGGCTCAGGTCATGTGCATTGTATGCTATTTCCCAACAAATAGCCATCTCCCTTTTGTCCAAGTAGCAGTTTATATCAGACAGGCAAAAATGGTGGGCTTCTTTGTAGTCGCAGTATTAAGAGTATTGCTGAAGAGCCGGGCATGGTGGCGCGTGCCTGTAATCCCAGCACTTGGGAGGCTGAGGGAGGAGGATCTGTGAGTTCAAGACCAGCCTGGGCTACATAGTGAGTTCCAGGTCAGTCTCAACTACATAGTGAGACCCTGTCTCAAAACAAACAAACAAACAAACAATTATTGCTGAAATGAAAGTGTAGGAGAAATATATTTATTTTCATTTTCAAGATGGCCTGGCTAGTGCGCAGCATTCAGGAGAGCTCAGGCTTGACACAGCCCTTCTGACTGGATCTGCTACAGGCCACCTGATGCTGAGGGTGCTGACTAAAACCCAATGGGGGATTTCTGTGCATAGTCCTCAAGATTCATTAATTTTCAATAATTTTCTCCATTAAGCCTTACTGAAAGTTGTTGGTGGGGCAGTGACAGGACAGGGGGCTCCATCATCAAGATTTTTTTATTCCATTAATGATGCTCTTAAGGGGACCGAAGGTCTTCCAGTTGGTGTCACACTTGCTGTCAACAGCAGGCTTAGAGTTAAGATTTTGAATATTAACTGACTGCCTAAACAACAAAAGCATTAAAGAACGACAGCAAAAACAGTTACAGTGCAATCTACCCTAAATAAAACGTCTGTCTTTAGCTTTTTTGTGTAGCCGATGTATCTGCCACATAAAATGTTTCCTCTCTCTGTCATTTTCCCCAAACTAGGAATTTAAAGAAGTCATTAGCCTTAGCTGTAATGTAATCCAGGAATCTCTTCATTCTGCTCAGGCTAAATTGATCATCAGCTGTGATCACTCTTGTGTGTTTACAAGGTCATAACTTCCCAAATGATTGTCTTTATTAGATTAATGTTTGTTTTCTATTTGTGGGGGTTAGCAGAACAGTTGGGAGTAGAGAGGACCTCAAGAAAAGCAGAAAAAAAATTCAGCTGCTGTAACATGACTAGTGACAGAAAAAAGAGGCTAGATCCTGAGGTTCTCCAGAAAAGGAATATCAAACTAAATTAATATGTATGCCCTCAGCCTGGACGAACCAGTGAGTTTCTTGGTAAGATTTATTTTGTGTGTTTGTTTGGAAAGGAAATGTGAGAAAGCTTAATAGCAAGAGAAAGAGACGCGATTTCTCAAGGTGCACTGGGGAACACTTCTTTGGCAATTAGAAGGATCCCATTGCTGATTTTATTTGAAGATGTTCAGATTGCCAGGGTAGTGTTGTACACCTGTAATCTCAGGTGTGTGGGAGGCAAGGCAGGTGGATCAAAAGTTCCAGGCTACTCTGGGAAACCTAATTCAAAATCCTGGGTTTATAATCCCCAATACTAGAAAAAAAAAAAAGAGAGAAAGAAAATAAGAAAATGCTTAGTTCTGTCATGGTCCTCTGAGAACTGCACCTCTAAAAACCTTTAACTAGCCCACGCTTCCTGAGAGGCCTAGAATTGCTGTGAGTTTGCACACCTCATCTCCTGTTGCTCTTGATCACGGGGCCCATGCTGCCATCACGGGAAATGGTTTCTGGAGGGAGAGCTGTTGTCCCTGCTGTGGGTGCCAGGCTACATAGTTGCTGTACAAAAGACTTCTTTTCCTGCATGTTTTGCTTGGCTGGAAATGGATTTTATTTTATAAATAAAAGAAAAGAAAATCTGCCTGAGTGGATCTAAGGCAATAATTATGAGGGCAACCTCATTGAAGAAATTGAAAATCCGTAAGAATGCTATTTTGTTTTTTTCCCTTTATGAATTCCCCCTCTTTTCCCCCTCCCTCTTGCCCCCTCCCTCACCCTCTGGAGAATGAACCTTGGGCCTTGTACATGCCCTTATCCTAATAGTTTCAGGTCCTGACAGCTGAAGTCCTGTATCTACTCTGAGGCATGAGTACATCTCTGTCATCCGAGCCACCTTCTCTTTTACTAGTTCTCAGCAGCTCCCTAACTCTCCAACTGCCTTCTGCTAGGATAACCTAGCTTGTTGGGCAGACGGTGACGGCCTCCTGAATGCCTTTGAACAGTTAGTTCCATGTTGGGAGCACAGGCCTTTTATGTGGATGTTTCAGCCGTGTCATGTAGCCTCTCCTTTCAGCTTGCTTTGTTTATCCAGCAGTTCATTACTTAAGACTGGCCTGTCAAAGTGGGTTAAATATCCTTTGGGAAATATGGTCACATCCTTGAGATACCACAAGTATGTTTAATATAGGGAAGATTGGCTTGATAAGAAAAACGTGATCGACTTGCATCACCAAAAATATTTTTCCGTTATTCCAGTTGAGCTTCTCCAAGCATCAATAAGTGCTAGCAAACCTGAGGGCAATAAATTTGTGCAGCTGACACCTAAAGACACCAAGGGAGGCAGGGAAAATGATTGCTGATGATCCGTTCTAACCACTTGACCTTCTGACCTCTTCTCTAGATATATGACCAAGATGGGACACTACAGCACTTTATTGATGGTGGGGAACCTAGTAAGTCGAGCTGGATGAGGTATATCCGATGTGCAAGGCACTGCGGAGAACAGAATCTAACAGTAGTTCAGTACAGGTAATGTATATCTTGATTTACCACTTACAGAGCTGAAGCCCTTTGGCTTGCGTATACAAATTCAGGCTTGCACTGGTGGTTGAAAACAATCCTGCAGACTCTGCACAGTTTGGTAGGGATGTTTTCTGCTAGCTTCTCGAAACCTCTTCAGTTCCTAGGACAAAGTAGTCAGTTCAGGACTACTCAGAAACGACGGTGCTAGCAGTTGGCCTGTTCACCGAGTGCCCGTGCTAAGTTATGACACCCTGGCTTGAACCTCCATAAAAGCCTGAACAAGGCCTGCAAGCCCCCTGCTAGGGGCAGCTCCCTCAGCAGATGTGTGGACACAGACGAGCAGAATTTCAGGCCCTTTGTTTTCAGTCACTTCAGGTAATCCCCCTGGGAGGACAGTTTCACGTGCACAAAAGGCTTGGGAGACCCAGAACTCCTCTCCTTGCCAGAACTGCCTTTCCCAAACCCGCCATGCTCAGTGGCAGTGACAGCCAGGGGACTTCTGCTCCCTCTAAAGGTGCTGGAGCATTTGGGTTTGGCCTTCTGATGATTCTAGTTATATTTCAGGTAAAGAGGTGATTTCAAAGCAGAGAATGCCTCGCTTTCCCGGATGTATGGGCAAAATTCAGCCAGTGACAAAGGCAAGACGGCACCCTCCCCCTGTTCCACAGGGAGTCACGTCGAGAGGCCCCCAGAGAGCTGAGAAGCAAGATGGGTTCTCAGGACGCTTTACACCATCTCCTCTAAGTGCACCTGCTGGCCGAACGTTTCCACTTAGCGCTTAAGAAGGCTGAAGTGGAGATGAGAGGGCAGAACAAATCAACTGGGAAAAAAACTCCACCACTAAAGCCTTCTTTTCTCAAAATCCCTCGAAAACATGTGCCATATAAATATATGAGCTCAGTTATAAACAGCCGCGTTCCCTTTAGAATCAGAAGCAACTGTTTAGCTTTATTAGGCACCACAGACACATCAAAGAGAGGGCCCGGTGCTCAGCAACTTGGAGTCCTGCCTATGGCTATTTATTTTCCTTTTTTTTAATCAAGTTTTTTTTTTTTTAACTTTCTCCCCCTTATAGCTTAAAGGCTGCACAAATCTCGCTCGTTCTCTAAAGGTCTCCAATTCAAAAGCAACATATTCGGGCAGCATCCGACTCATTGCCTTGGTTTCCTGTGCAGTTTTAGTTCATTAAATAATGGCTTAAATGCAGTAATGCAAGACAATATTTTGGATACACTGCTGTATACGGGCTTTGCTCACCTTCACTGTAGTGATATTTTTACAGAACTCTGAGCCAGAAAACTAGTAAGAACTATGCCTGTCCAGCCAGCAATCCGTAGTGTAGCTGGTTCTGGAACAAACGCCCAGGAAGTTAGCTCTTGAGACAAATTCTGAATTGAGGACAAGAAACCCCTTTGAGGAAGGGCAGTATGAGTTAGTCATTGTGTATCTGTCGGTATTAAGTGGATCTTACAACTGCCCTCTCATGATCACGCTTAAACTACGAGCTCTCTCTGCTGATCTGTTTTTGATTACTTCAGATCTTTATAAAATGAACTACAAAAACACAATTTTAAAAACTGGCATCCATCACCAGTGACTACGTCCAAAAGTAAGAAACTAGAAAAGTTGGACCCTGAAGAGGCAGCTTAATTTTTATCGTACATGAATGTCCTCTTCACAGAGAGTCAGCTGGTTTAGATTCGTTCTGTTATGATTTGTAATATCTAAATGGAATTTTCTTCAAAGCGCCCTTGATTGATTGACCCTTAGCTGAACGTTTTGTTTTTATTTTGAGGCTGACAATAATGTTTGTTGGCATTTGTCCTGCTTCCACTGCGTTGGGACGCCGTGGAGCTATCTTTATGAGTCATCCAACCACAATACTAAATACATGTCAGCAAAGGAAATATTATCTGAAAAGGGAAAAATCCCTTTGATGTGCTTCAACATGCAGAGATTTCTGCGAGTTTTGGAAGGTCTGCCCGCTTGTAAGGCATGGTGTACACTTACACATTTTTTCCCCTTTCGGCCTACCCCGTGCCTCAGAAGACCACCCATTGCTCGAAAACAGTTCTGCTCTTTCAGCAGCAAAGTGTGTCATTTGGTTTTAGCACATTCATTTGCCCGGCGCAGTGTTTATCTTAGGGGAAGCCGAACCGAGAGATGAAATGTTACGAGGGTGAAGTACAAAGTAGACTCAATTTTTCTCAAGTTAGGAGATGCCAGTGATTTATAGCTCGGCTCCAATTTTAATTTTTTTATGTAGCAGTGGAAAGAATTAATAAAATGCACAGCCCTTAGAGATGCGGAGGGAGGAAGGGTGGTGAGGGCTGGACAGCCGGCTGGAGTTTTTGTCAGATATTCATAGAATGTTGGGAAAAACATTCTGCTTAGCTAGCAGTGCCCTCGTGAGACAGAATGGCAGCAAGTAAGGAAAATAACAAGATAAATGAAATTTTTGCAGCTGCAAATAAAATATTGAGAATCTGCACTTTTTTATTGATCTTTATGATCCTATTGCCAAGAGCCACTTTGTGGTGACAAAATATGTTGACAAGTGCATATCTCACTGCCATGAAAAATGTAGAGAAGGATTCGCCTTGTGTCTGCAGTGTTGTACAAGGGACAAATTGCCCTGCTACAGCCGGTTCCGTACAGAAAGGTGAAATTTAAGGCCCACCAACCCCAAACACTTTTATCTGGAACTTGAGGCTAATACGTGAAGCAATTCGTCACTGAGAAAAAGTTTCCATCTCCCCTCTCGCTCTCTTTTTTAATCTGTAGATTTTTCTTTATGGTGCCAAAGCTGTTCTCAAAAATGTTTATTTCTTGGTACCTTCCCTGTGTCATTTCAGAGTGTAATCTTTCAGCCAGTGTAAAGCGCTCCTCTTTACTTACTTATTGAATTTTCATCCATTTCACATAAGAAGGTTTTCTCTTCTGTATCAAACCTCCGAAAAATGGGAGTGGAGATTTTTATTCTCTTAGTCCTTGTATCACAAGGATGCTCCATCCTACTACAAATTGGGGAAGTACCAGTGCAGTTGCCAGAATACACTTACTGCTTTTCCTTCAAGTAAGAAATGAATATTATTAATTTGTACATGAAGTTGGAGCACCACTGTCTTTGTAGTTTGCCAAGAGAGAAAAGTTTTTCATTGGTGCAGGGCGGGATTTTTAAAAAATGAACTTTCCTGTCCTGCTGTCACCTGGGCCAAATATCTGTCTCTCCAGGACCGACCCTCTGTAGAGGGACATGGTGGAAAGAAACTATACACTGTTTACCATACAGAGATATGGGCTCTAATTGACTGCCGAGGACAATAAGGCGAATGTAGATTTATTATAAACGAACTGTGTAGGTGGAGCTGAGCAGAACATTTTCAGGGCAATAAAAATGTGGTGGGGGCGACGTGAGTCCTGCGTGTTACTAAGCTGGGTTTTCTTTTGTTTTGAATAGGTCGAATATATTCTACCGAGCCTGTATAGATATCCCCAGGGGCACCGAGCTTCTGGTGTGGTACAATGACAGCTATACGTCTTTCTTTGGGATCCCCTTACAATGCATTGCCCAGGATGAAAACTGTAAGACTTTATTTTAGCTCTGAATTCACATCTCAAAATACCTGTTGCAAAGCTAACTTTTGAAGAATGTTTTTTTTAAACTTCTGAAATGTGGTTCACTGTGATCCATCATGCGAACATGCACATATCCATTCTGTCGTTTTCCTTTCCCTGTATGTTGTTTGCTTTTTCACAGGGCATCTTAACCTCAGCCAGTACTCAATTTCAGAGCCTTTGCGAGAGTTTTAAAGAATCACTGACAACAGAGCAAAGCAGCTGGTATTCACTGAGCATATACTTACTTACTGTGTGTCTGGGTTTAAGCGTCTCACTGTCGGGGGCTATGAGAGCAATAATAAGATAACTTCTGTCCTGAAGACGCACACTTTTATGGGAGCCACACTATACAAAAATGAAATAAAGAGAAGACAGTGCTGCTCTGTCAGGGGTGACGTCCTGCGTAGTCATCAGCATAAGAAACGGTTCTAAACATTGTAGCGAACGTGCGGAATTCGTGTCTTTCTAAACTTTTTGTCTAAAATCCTGTAATTTTCTTCTATTTTTATTATCATGCCAAATATTATCTTTGAAAGAGTAATCTAACTTTTGGGCAAATATGAACTTACAGCAACTTTCACTTACAATTTATACTTTTATCTTATCAGTTCTTTTGAAAATATTGCAAGGTGATTTCCAGAATTTGAAAGCGAATTAGGAAATGCTGATGTGTTTTAATGAAAAATAGTAGTTGCAGTGGTGCTGTGTCTTGTCACTGCGTTTACTAATATGTGATGACTTGACTCTATTCAACAAAAGGAAACAGATACAAAAGATCCATTTTAACAGACAGAAAGCTTCACTTTGCAAAAAAGGGTTGTTTGCTTTTCTTCTCCACTTCTCACACACACACATGCACCTACTGACTCCATTTGTCAAAATGCTGATGGTCAGATATTTCTTTCTGTGTTGCTTTTCATTTCTTTGTAAAAAGTAAAATCCTCAAAAAGCCTACTACTGTCAGCTTTCCTTTTCTATTTTACCCTAACCCCAAATCAGTCTCAATTAAAAAAAAGGAAAGAAGCACACTTTGGGCATACAGTTCACTCCTCTTGCTTTCCGAATTTCCGTTAGAAGGTTTCTTTTCTGTACTGATCCTTCTGTCGGAAGGAATGTCTGTTTTCCCTAGGAGGATATCTCAGCGGGACAAGGGCACGTGGCTGGTGTTAGTAGTAGATATCGACACGGAGGCCGCTGTGCTGTCCTTTGCCCAGAACAGCTCCAAGCCCCCTCCCCTGAAACTAGATCTAGGGCCACACACAGAAAAGCACCAGTGTCCGCCCTCTGAGTGGCTGGCTGGGGCTTTCTGTACCCTGGAACCCTGACATAGCCTCTCCTTCTAAAAGTGTGAAGTTTAGTCAGAAGGATTCCAGAAGCCCTGCGAGGACCCCTGTTTCCTTTTGCAAAACAACCTGTTACAGCCTCTGAAGATGGTGTGTGGTCTGTGGAGGAATGTCTGGGAGCAAACACATCAAGGGCTAGAGTTCAGAAGTGTGCAGCTCAGACTCCAAATATTCATTTGTTTATTCATTCATTCATTCTTTGCTCAGCTATTTATTGAGTACCACCCTTGGGCCAGTGTCTTTGCTAGGTGCTATAAACTGAGAGGGAGAAGAAGAAGAAGAAGGAGAAGAAGAAGAAGAAGTAGAAGAAAAAAAAAAAGACAGGAATTCCTGCCCTCATGGAGCTTACATTTTACCAGAAGGATAGAGATCCATAAATGTGTCAAGGAATAGTTGGTTAGATGTTAATGTGTTGTAGAGTTAGTAATGCAGAGAAGGAGTAAGTATGACCAGGCGTCGGGGGTTGTAAGTTCTGGGAGTGACCGGGGAGCCCCAGTGGAAAGGGAGGTTTTGGGCAGAGATTTAAGGAGGTGAAGGAACCAACCATATGTTACTTTGGAGAAGACTGCTGCAGTCAGAGCCAGATTGAAAATGCAAAGTCCCAAGCTGGGACCATCCCTGGCAGGCAGAGGAGCAGCACAGAGGTTGGCATGGGCACAGCAGAGCGAGTGTGAGGGGCTCGGCCAGGTGTGGGCGGTGGCAGTGATCCGGGCAGGTCCTGGAGGACTGCCAGGCCGGGGCTGCTACTCTGTGCGAGCAGGCAGGCAGTGGGGCCACTGTGGCATTTCGAGCAGTGAGTGAATTGGTCTGAGTGAGTGGGAACAGCACGGAATTGTTGGAGGTGGTAAGAAGCAGTTGAATTTTGAACGTCTTTGAAAATGCAGCAAACTGTGTTTTCTGACATGTGAGGCATTGAGCAAGAGAGGAGTCAGGATGACTTGAGGTTCTCGGAGAACTGGAAGGACAGCGTGACTGTTTACTGAGTCTAGAGACAGACCTGGGAAATACAGAGTGGCTGCATAGGGATTGCCCTTGTCACCCTGACGGTGGGCTTCGGGAGTGAGATCACACATTCACACGTGGCTCCTGCCTCACCGTGCAGTAAAAGACTGAGAGGCACTGAGGGGTGGTGTGGGCCGATGCGGGCCCCGTTTGCTGGACACAGCCATCTGACGGTGGGTAAGAATGTACTCCATGGTCTTCAGATCTGGGCCCACAAGCATTAAAAATATATTTTCTGGAAATAGTATATGGTTTGCTCTTCAGTCCTTCTTTCTTGTATAGTCCCACCTGTGTGGGGCATTCCTGAGGTTACTGATTATAGTATTGAACAAATTCTATCAGGGCAGATGGTATGTCATTTAACACCTGAAATTCTTGAGAAATTTGCAAAGAAATTCACAGAGCCGTAACGGCCTGAAGTATTGTGGGCTCAGCAGGTAAACTAAACAGCTCTTTTTGCTTCAGTTCAGAGCTCTTGGTTGAGGGAACTTTAAAGGGAATGAAGTCACTGAATAAAAGGTTCAACAGTGACAATGCCTCTTTCCCCCGAGGGTGTTATAGGAATTTTATTTCAGTTCCTGTCTCAAAGTCATATATCTGTCATGTGATTGGCCACCCAAGAAATCAGCAGAAGGCTTCATCAGACAGAGTGGTGGAGATATATGACTTTGACATGAACTCTAAGATGGATTCTTATTCCGTATGATTTATCAGAGAGCAGGGTGGGGTGGGGCTCCTTATTCTGTGCTGAGAAAATACTTGGTATGATTTAGAAGCACAGATGTAGGGAAGGGCACAGAGAATTTACCAGATGTCCTTCCACGGCCCTGAGGAATTTAAATCATCTCACCTGGATTAGCAATTCTAAGGCAGTTTTTATATCATTGAACTAGCCACAAAATAAATTAGGCATCTTAAAAAGAAGCTCCTTGAGAAAAAAAAACTGATTGGCCACCATGCCATACAGATCCTGCTGGTAGCAGTATGGATACAATAAACAACTAATAAGGGCTCACTCGACAAATATGGAGAATTCTTAGTGCCATTATTAGAAGAGATTCTTTCAGCTTGATTTTTCTGTTACTGAAATCCATACCTGGAGTAATATGTTCAAGGAAAATCTGATTTTACTTAGTGAATAACATGGGTTAAGCACGTTATTTATAAAAATATCATTTTCGTCCCCTGGTTCTCTCGACACGCAGACTACACACGTTTCCCAGTGAGTGTGTGCAGCAGGGTTAGGCCTCAGCAAGTGCCCCCTCCAGCAGCGGGGTGCAGTGGGCACACTCACTGCCCAGACAAGCCATGAAAAGCTGCTTGCACTCAAAAGGGAGACAGTGTTTCACACAGGCATTTGGGTTCTGGAAGCAATTCCTATGTTGTTTTCTTTTTAAAGAACCAGTTTTAGATGTAATAGAGCTGCAAAGAGAGCCGCTCCGTCCACTGTGGGCTTTTCACAGGAGCCTGAAGGAGCTCTTCTGAGGACAGATCGCATCCGCAAGAAGGAATGAGGTTCCCGAAGCTTCCAGTGGGGGATTCGTTCCTGCAGGGTGTAAAGACCATAGTGCATTCGTATTTGTTTCAGAGGAAATTAAAAAAAAAAAAAAAACCCTGGGAATAAATGTTAAACAAGTCTTCCTGCTGCTTTTTCTGTCCGGGCGTATGAAGCCGAGGGAGCAGAATGTGAAACTTGATGGCAGCGTGGGAGTTGGGTCCAACCTTGCCCCGAGGAGGCCTGTTTCTTTGGATTGTAAAGAGCAGAAAATAGAAAGGGGAACCTCTGCACAGGGCCTGTCCCCCACCACACCACCGACAACAGAAAACTGGGCCCAGCCTAAGCAGGGTCTCTCCTCTTTGTGATCTTGAGGAGGGCGCTGGTGATGGAATGCGAAGACTCACCCCTGTCCAGAGGGTAGCAGGATGAAGGAGACACGTGTACAACTCCCATATGAATGGCAGTGCTGGTGGCGCCTGAGCTTATCTGGGTACGAGTGGGTGGAGCCAGAGTGCCAGGGAAGCTGGGACTGGATTCCTTACATCACTCAGGAAGAGGAAGGTGTTTCCCTGCTCCCGAGTGGGGCTACAAAAACGCTTCCCCCACTTAGAAGCTAAGGACTGTCCACCTTGGGCAACTGGTGAGAATGGTCACCCCAAAACCCGCTGTGGCTGTAGGATGGTTTGGGGCCCGATTCTGCATTATCTTCCAGGTACAGAAACCCTAGGCTAAGAAACCAATGCACAAATTTGCCTAGAATTAGAAAACCCTCAGGTCTTTGTAAGAGGAGAAATGGCCTCGCAGCAGGGCCTCTGTAGCTGCACAGGACTCAGTGGAAGATGTGTTCACAGAGGGCAGTGACAGATGACACAGACGAGCCACGGTGGGGCAGATCTGGGTCCCGAGGGTGCTGTGGCATGCGGTCTGCATCTCAGCCTGCCGTGGACGGGGCCCCTCATTGCCCAGTTCAGCACAGGAGAGCTACTCCCCTGGGTCCCTCTCCCTCCCACTGTGGACAGGGACTAGAGCAAAAAGGACTGTGTACCTGCAGTGCAGCTCTGGAGGACATTTCCAGCTCCAGAGCTGTTAAAGCCCCCGCCCCGCCCCGGCCCATCCTCAGC